GACTTCAATGCTCATTCCCGAAATCACAGAGAGCATTATACAACGGGTCAGATGTATATCTAACTCCGACATCGAAACATAAAGCGAGTTCAGAGGGTTTTTATAACGTCTTGACCACCTATTTTCAACGTTTTTGCGCTATGCTTTTACCCCAACTCTTTTCAATACTCAGCCACTACTCCAAATCATTGACAGACACTGTGGTGATTTTATCGTTATATAAGAGAGGGTTGTGATTCTCATAGTCGTATATTTGGTTCAGACTGTGTTTGACGATTTCAGTATATGGATCGGGATAGATATTGTTGCTTTTGCATACGTTTATGATTCCTTTTTGTCAGTTCCGTTGGATCATTTATTTCTAAACAGTGGACAAGAGTATCAGAACGACCAAGCTGCTACAGAAATCACATTCAAATGATAAGTCTCTAATTTTAATTTTTATGTTGTTTCTCCATAGCAGCCTGCGTCATAGTGTAGCTTGGTGTCGAGATGCGATTGACTATGAACACCACTACAAAGGAACGCGTGCCAGGATATCCATAAAATCCCCCGGAAGTCAAATATCAGAAGGCAGTTAATGGACCAAGTCGAGATATATTTGCTGGCGATCTCGTAGTATCGAAAGAATACTGAGATCGTGCCAAGATACAGAACATAACCGAATTTGCGCGAGGTCATAATCGAAGTAAGTATAATGAAAGTTTTTAGCACAGTTAAACAAAGAGCATTTTAAAACAGTCACTAGTACAATTGGTTATAATAATAATTGTTTTCATTAAACCAATCGTGTTCTCGTGATAAAAGTAAGTCACTACAATCAGTCAATAAACGGTTTTAGATGCTTTTTGCAACCATTTCACTCAAGTTCACTAGTCTAATTTAGAGTTGATGTTTTGGTTGTAGCGTGACATCGACTGTTTGGTTGATGACTCGGTTTAAGTATTTTAGTCGATTGATTAGTCTTGTAAGTACACTAAGTATTAAATCACAAACATCTCGTGCGCGAGATACTAGTCCTACTCAAATTAAATAAGTAGGTAGAAGCGTCATCCTGTTTAATTAGTTTGCAGTTAAGTTTTGGTGTTTGGGTTGCGTGATGCATATTGTAAACATTGCTTTGAAGTTCTTAATCAAATCTCGTCTCCACAACCCCCATACTGATAATTAACATGTGCTCACTAGTGACTAGCTTCGTGAGGGAATTCTCGGAGTTCTAGTGAGAAGTCGTGACCAGTGGAGCTAATCCGTGTCGGGTAGAGACAGGTATCTAAATCAGTACAATGGAAGGTGGTCGCGCAATTTCGTGGATTGGTTTATGTTAGACACTAACACCATTGGATGCCGGCTCAGTGATATAATGGTTAAGTGCTCAGGCGCGAAGCCAGTAGGTCCTGGGTTGGAATCCCGCGGGGTGCGGGATCGTGGATGCGCACTGCTGAGGAGTCCCATACTAGGACGAAACGGCCGTCCAGTGCTTCCAGGTTTCCAACGGTGGTCTAACATCAATTAATTCATGATCTCAACCAAAAACTTAACAATCTGCACAACCCCCATACTGATAGTTTATTTATAGTTCTAATGTTACGTACGGCGATTTTTGAACTACCATCAATCCTCGGAATGAGGCTTCTATATTTCCTGGTAATAACTGCTGGTGGCAACGCTAGAGCTGTTTATGCTACTCAATTTACTAAACTTCGAATGTAAGACTGTTTATGGAGTAAGTATCACTGGATAACATGCATTGTAATTCCCTCCTTTCTTTTAATGATGCTTTGGGGAGACTGTAATTTATGAATGACCTTTGAACGAATCCTGAGTGACCTTGAGAAGTATTAGCCAGTCAGCAAACAGTAAGTATAGAGTAAAAATATGTTATTTAAAACCAAGAAAATAAAGTGGATACACTTCTTATACGTGGTTCAATAACTTGTCAAGGTTAGAAGAGGTTCAGAAGTTCTAAAATCATAATGCATGTGGTAGAGGAAATCATCCATACGGCTACAGAATAGTCAGCATGATACACACTCAAAAACTCTTTCAATCTCGACCACATTGTTTCAATATTGTTAATGTGCACTCCGGTTGTTGAGTGCACAAAATGCTACTTGTGATTAACGACACGATGCACATAGCCAAGGCTATGTAGGAGTCTGTACACCCTTCAAACATCCGTATATATTGTAGTACCTGGCTGCAACCAGTTTTACTGGTGCTTTTATTATGCAGTTCGCAATAATTGTCGTACCTTGCCTTAGTTAGGAATTACATATGGGTTCTTGATCACGAACTGACATCAGCTATAATGCAAGAAATTTATTTAGCCAAATAGTTGAAAGGCTTTCGAGTTAAAATCCTAGATCTGTTATCTTATACCTGATTGATTCGTTCATAAATCATAGTCCCACCGTTTAATTTGTTATAGCAGCTCGACTATCACGTTTAGTACAAAATTCCCTGTAAACCGATCGTACGTTAGCATTAAGCACTGAAGTTGGCGCCGTAACCTTGAAATCCCTGAAACGCATTTGATTGGCTCGTCCATGAATTGGAGTCTCGTCAGCAACTTCCTGAGTGTGTCGAGCATTTTCTTCTTCGTGACTCGAGTATAGCATCATATCTAGCCTTTGCTGTCTAGTTCTGTTCCAATGGGTTTCGCTGCTTCCCAATGATGCCAATTTGTATCTCCTCATTTCTGTTGCTATTGGACTGGTCTACCCTGTCTCCCACATTGTCCGGATGTCCCATCTATTTATAAAGATTGCTGCTCTGGTTGCTGGTCGTGGCTTTCGGAGGAACTCAGCTTTCACTTTGAGTCATTATAACTCTTCTATGTGAAAACCTTCTAACCCCCAGAGCAGAGTTTAAATTGTTTGAATTATTTCTTCTGGTTAGCGCCTTTTTATCGAGTTATTTTTCTACGGGATGGGGTCGCTAACCCCATGCCCAACTCTCCCCTTTTATCCGGGATTGGGACAGGCATTAACTCTAGAAGAACTACAGGCGAAGTCCAATATGAAAGGATGTTATATTACTTCAGCATTGTCTGTTTACTGCTCGAATCGTCATGGGTCACTTTGTGAAGTCCGATGTTAATGCTCAAAAATGTTTTTCTTTAGGTGACCGAAAGTGTTTAATTTTGTTTTATATAACCACCATATCTTGCATTCCCTGTGACCTCACGAATATGTTTTAGGTTCATTATAAGAACACTAATAAATTACCGAGAGTAAAGCATGAAGAATGACATTTTGTGACACTCAAGATTCTTCAGCTTACTTTTACCTGTTGTCCGAAGTGCAGAATGTTCTAACCTGTTAGTAGTAAATTAACTGACATAAAGGCTGATTTATGAAATCCCATCGATCTAGAGAAACAACACGGAGTTATGTGTATGTAGTGGGTTGAACTAAGTACTTATAGCTTCAATTCTCGAACTGTTACAATATAAGGCTTCTGTCATTTTTGATTGTTGTTAATTGCATTCCTCGATAAATGTTAGTATATCGGTTGCACTTGCTGGGTTGTTAACTAACCTCTTCTACAGTCCTCTTCACTTAAGCTTCCCTGTGTTCCCCGAATACACAAAGTACTTGTTTGCCAGATGAGAATGGCTACAGTGCGATACCAAGCACCTTGGAAAAATCTACCGAAAGCTCATTTTCCGGTTTCAACACTGCCTATGTTTTCCAGATTGGCGTTTGTGGTGTGCTGTCAGCTTTAAGTGCAGCCATGTTGCGTTTTTTTGGAAGATTTAAATAACTTGTATTACGCCTCTTGTTTGGTTGTGCAATAAACCTTAAAACAATCACATCATTGCGAACCTTTAGTGTCAAATAAGATTTTTCATATCTCTAGTTTTCAAAATTTAATAAACCATCATTGATTTCCACTTCTTTGTAACTGCTCATCGTTTAAAGTGTATTGAAACGGGACACTTACTGGATTATAAATAGCAACGAACATCCTTTAAATGCTGGATGTAAAATCGACCTGGCTACCAGTTAGATCTCAGTTTCACTAACGTTCAAATTAATATCCCTGACCTTACACAAAGAGTGCTCCTCACTTTTGTCCTGAATGAGCCTTCTGTTTGAACCCATTAACTCAATACATGATTTTACAGTGTAAAGATCCCATAAGTATTCCGAGTTTAACAACGTCTTTATGATAGTATTTTAACCCAATCAGATCAGAAGTAAAGAAGTTCAAAGTTTTACTTGAAAAGATATCGATATGTCTAAATATAACAAGAGGATCTTTGTTGGATCAGTTGTCATTTGTGTGTGCGATCATAAAATTATAAATTAACGGTAAAGCAGCTAAAGTGAATCATCCGATTTTTATTAGCTACACAATAAGCACTACGACCAGATTCATAAGGACGTATTTTAATCGAGTACCTAATGTGGAAATGAAACATAATTCTATAAGATTGAGTGATAAGTTCTTGTACCGTAACGCCACGTGGTTTTGTAGAGCACCATAACCACAGTCTTGAATGAGGACTCGACATTTGTCCGAAAACCACAGTTTTCTGGTAGCAGACGTCCTGTGCATTGCTTAATTTAGGATGTTCCTGGAACGTAGTCCACCTAAGACCATGAAAAATAAGAATTTTTATTGCTTGAAAGCCATTATTTTCGACCAAAAGCTGCTTATTCGATAACTGGTAGTTTAAAGTTGATAATTCACAACCACTTATCAGTCATTTTTAGATTCCTAACATATACATCCAATCCTGAAACTATGATTGATACTGCATCCTCCTTGATGAAGTTTGTAAAATGTGGAATTCCCCGAATATGTGATGAAGTTTCAGGTATGGTAGGAGTGATACGCGCTCCAATATCTTTCCATCTTGTGCGTTATTACCTCTGATAAGGCTATTCTTTACTCGCGTTTTCGGTCTATTCAGATTTAGAAGAGACGATATAGGGCTCTGTCAAGTAAAATAGTATTTCCAATTAGCAATTGTTGCATACAGCAACTCATAATTCCGTTATACCCAAGTAGTGATACATCATGCATACTCACTTCAGTGAGAGCGAAAGGCCTAAATCCTCATCGACATTAGCGGTCTTCAGTTCGAACGTGAAACAAGTTCCGAAATTCTCTTTAATTTACTGCAGACAAAAAGGTGTAAAATGATGCGTGTCTGTGATCGCTTCTGCACATACAGGTTATTATCCAGTAACCTTGTGACGAGGTAATGTAAACAAAACAAATTTTTATGCCTCGTTTTAAGCACTAGCATGGTTATAAACCCATAGGTTTAAATCTTTAGCAAATTTGTGCAACTGGAAATCTATAAGTTTCTAAGTAGCGGAAAAAGGACATAGCTATCCACAGCTTTTGTGATATGGTTTGAATTGTATGCATAGAGAACACCCACGCGATTTTGCGAGAGCAACGAATGGTGTAAAAACGCAATACACAAAACAAATCAAGTTTACTCATTGGTTCACAAGCAAGGAGAATATATATTAGGTCTGGATCTGTTTTTGTATCCTAAGAGTGGTCAACATATTCAGAAAATTTCGTAAGCATTGACTTCCAATTATCGTTCCCAATACATAGATAGCTTCCCAAATGAAACGCTTTTTCTAACCAATAATTATATCTTGGTATGATCCATCTCGTTTAAAGTCGACACTCTTGAATATTGTCCAGAAACTCATACGTACTACGATAAGTGTTTGTATTTTTATCACTATGATTAACTACTTCAAAACCAGAGAAGTAATTTTCATATGATCTCATGGCGGTTCTCACAAATGTTATTACTTAAATCAATGCAAATTTATAAGTGAAAACTAACCTGAAGTTTGAGCTAAAATGGGATCAGAATTAAAGAGTAATTATGAAATAATAAACTAAGAGGTCCATTCATAGTGAAATATAGACAAACAGCCAGAATAGAATTTCCGTGCCATGTCTTTCTTTAGACAAAATAAATAAGCCAGAATCGAAGAGAATTCTCGAAGCTTTGATGAAAAAAAATTAGCATGCCCTCCATTCTTTGATAATAATTTTATGCAAACACTAAATAACAACGGTGTTTACAAGAAAGTTACTACGACGAGAAAATTTCATATGCAGTTTAAAAAGCCCCATAGAATAGCCAAAAATGAAGAATATTTACGAGAACAGTTGTTTACTGTAACTCCATCACCAAGCTCTACAGTTTTAAGTCCAAAATTAGGACATTTTAAAAAGGCCAAAATATGATATTTATTAATAAAATTGACAATGTTGTGTGTTAAAAATGGTGAACGTTTGTAACTGTTTCGACATATATACTACAGAATTGTGTTACTTGTAAATTAGAAAGGTCATAATGATTTCGAATGGTGTCAAGTCACAATATAGTAAAAATTTAAATGAAGAAAATCGTATGAATAAAATGCATGTTAGGAGAATTCCATCTTGGTAACTGAGGTATAATGATAATGGCAATCACAATAATGGTAATAAATAATATGAAGTAAAAGTGGTGTGATCGAGGTAACTGTGAAAAAAAGAGTTCATGTGAATTGGAGAAGATGGATATGAAGATTAAGATAGAACTAATTAAAAAATGGGAAGGGGGTAAGAGGTTTGTAAAATTCATTTTAGGTATCCAGTCGTAGGTCAAGGTAAACATAGAGGAAGTATTCTCTATTTTGATATGATGTTCATTTACTACCAAGAGAGAAGGAATGGCACTGTTAATCGAATTAGTAATAACTTTTCCCAACCATGCTGGTACATGTTCATGAACATACAAGGTTAAAACCCTAAGTATGGCCTATGTAACTAGCTCTACAGGAGCAGTTGAATTGGTACACACACATAGTCCCCCTGTATGTATCCTATCCTTCATACGTTGTGTAAGTACTGGTTTAGTTGAGAAAATTATATGTAGCTTGTCCGCGTGAATCGTACTTTCAACAGATCTTTTCAATTCACGTGTTAAATTTCATATGCAAAAACAATATATACAAAGATGCTTCTAAAAAGACATGCCATTGTAAATACAGATATCGATGAATTAGTGTACATTATTCACTGGTTTTCCGATTGACTACCAAGCTCAAATAAAAAGGAAAGTAAGAACAAAAAGTACATGCAACAACACATTATATAAAGCATAAACAGACAAATGCAATTACGAACTATCAGGTACGAGAGGTGTTAATGCATGGTTTGATCACACTGTAGTGAACAAGAACACGATTGGGGACAGCCAAATATATTTGAGCACAAAAATCTCACGAAAATCTGAGAACCGTACAGTAAATAGACGATTTGCAAAGTATCAATAAATTGTATCAAACATGACTGTTCCTTTTGCAATCTCAGTCTATCGTCTCAGATTTCATTGTTTATGCATTTTCATACCAATCGCTCTTCGTTCCCGTTCTTCCACTGAAATACATTCTATCTGACCATCGTTATACACTACTTATGTGGATATAAGTAGCTCACATCATATAGCATATTTTCCCCTATATTCCGTCTCAAATAAATATTTCAACTTTTTAGAGAGCAATATGCTTTGATCAAACCCATCTGTTTAACTAGATAAACAGAAGTCCCAAATATTCTACTTAGTTATGGTTCTTTGTAACAGATAGGTTGCTATGTTCATTGGGAATTGCACCGTATAAAGCAAAGCGACAACCTTATGAAATAAAATAGCGAATAAATGATCTGTTTGCTACCATTAGCAAGTTTCAGTGTTGCAAGATAATGCTTACTAAGGAAGCCACTGAAATGCAACCTACAGTACAGTATCACCTAAAGGCTGTAGGAGATCAATGGGAAAAGTCGTTTGGAGTCGAAGTAAATAAAGAGATATCCAGTCCATATAAGAACTTGTTCAAGGTAACACTGTTAACTACATAGTTAGTACAATGATCAAATATGCTTCTGTGTCATAAGATTACTGAGACCACAAGGTACAGGCAATTAGATTATTTGGAGTCGTTTAGGGTTTGGTTTCCAAACCCCACAGTAGGATCGATCACAATAAAATTTTGCAGTGATGGGCGGAAAGACACTATTTAGAATTTACGATGTTATGAATCTGTAGGTGGGAAAGATATGTATGCATTTTTTGGTACATCATTATTGTCAACAGAACATCCAGTCAATACGTTTTACTTGATTGAAAGTTTAATGCGTTCGGAACTGTAAAATACTCTCTGGTGAAACAATCTATGCCTCTTGTGAACATGTGGTATCTGCTTTTGAGGAATATTCAAAGAGAGAAGCCCAATTGAAAGTTAAGAAATTAGAAGTCGTGACTAGCTCGAGTGAATTACTCCCATAAAACATTGCGAAAATATTATTATTAACCAAACAAATTAAATTATAGCTAGTGGCTGTTGTGAAATTCAATTAAATTATTCAAACTTTTACTAGACATCAGTTCGAAATTATTATCATTCGAATCATTCTGAGTCTCAAAAGTTACAATGACTGCGGAGTTGACAGAATGAGTCGTTGAAATCAAAACATAACATGACTGTTAAACGTCAACCTACTCGATTTCCTGTTAAACAAATGGCTAAATAGCTTGAGAAACAAAAACAAATTATATGGAGGTTCATATGGATAATGATACCAGTTTAGTTTACGAATACTGATCCCACATGAGCTGTGTGAGGTATCACAGATACTCACTGACGTGCGATTAAAGAAACTGAACAATGCTATGATCAGTATAAGTCTTTATAATGTCAGCATTTAAGCATAATATGCAACTAATAAATAATATCTTGACCTTTAAGCGAAATCTTTTGTAATTATACTGTCTTGAACATGGGATAAAGTGGAAAACTATGATTCAAGTGGACGATCTACACTTTGCAGATGATCTGGCTCTTCTATCGCACACGCAACAAAAAATGCAGGAGAAGACGATCAGTGTAGCAGCAGTATGTGTCAACAGACACAAAGGGAAATGCAAGATTCTCCAATACAACACAGCATGAAACAATCGAATCACACTTTACACAGAGGCTTTGGAAGATGTAAAACTCAAAAAAACTGTCGACCAACACCAAGGTCAGAATTTTCAATACAAATGTCAAGACAGTTCTACTGTATGGGGCGGAAACATGGAGAACTACGAAAGTCATCATCCAGAAGATACAAGTGTTTATTAACAGCTATCTACGTAAAATAATTTGGGTCCGTTGGCCAGACACTATCAGCAACAACCTACCATGGGAGAGAACAAACCAGATCCCAGCGAACGAAATCAGGAAGCGCTGGAAGTGGATAAGACACACATTGAGTAAAACACCCATCTGCATCACAAGACAAGCCCTCATTTGGAATCCTAAAGGCCAAACGAGAAGAGAAGGACCAAAGAACATATTACACCGAGAATTGGAGACAGACATGAGAAGAGCGAACAACAATTGGATGGAATTAGAAAGGAAGTTTCAGGATAGAGTGGATTGGAGAACACTGGTCGGCGGCGTATGTTCCATTGCGAGTAACAGGCGTAAGTAAGAGACGCAGATTGGTAGCAAACTAATATAAATAAACAACTCAAACGGTAATAAAGGAACTAATTGAAAAGTCCCGAATACAAAAGGTTTTATTCAATCACTGCGAAACCAGAAATATCGAACGAACACAAATCTCTACTATGAAATTTTAGCTTGATCTAATTCAAAATATACTTGTTCATAAATTGTCTAAGATGTAGCCTTATTGTGAGCTGTTGCAAGGGATCTAGCACCTGACATCCATATATACATTTTATTTCTTAGAATTAATCTGCAGATTCAACGTATGAATATTTATTTATTTATTTGAACACATAAATATTGGTACAAGAGAGCGCCAATATATATGCGCCACACAAAACAATGAGAATTCGAAGAGAAGTAGAAAGAAAGAAAAAAAACTAAGGAACGCAAAAGAAAAAGAGAACAATGACGAAGAGATTGGAGTAAGGTAGTGTGGTAGTAAAGACGGAACGAAAAGGTACAATCAGAAGTCTTTCAGGTAAAGGAGACACAACCACCTTTTATGAAGAAAGTAAAAGAAGGTTACAGCAGGATCGCCACTGGCTTCTATTCTGAGCCATATCTGATAACGTCTCTAGCCACTGTGTAGCACCATCTCTCGGACCCCAACCAGGGAATCAAGAAGGACCAACACAAACCAGTCCTTTGCAGCTTTCTTTCATGCCACGACACCATGTCATGCACTGACCACCTCTCCGCCTCTTCCAACCAATCCCAGAGTCGGCAAATAATGCACGACGTGGAATTCTCTGGGACGACATTCGGAGAACATGTCCAAGCCACCGAAGTCGGTGTTTCAGGATGGTGACACCGACTGCATTATCGTCTCTGTGCCCGAACACACGATGCCGAACCTTTGCATTACTAAAATGGAGCAGCCACTGGATGTCAGCAATCCTTCGGAGACAACGATGATCGAACACAGAGAGTCGTCTAACGTCCTCAACTCGGAGAGGCCGGGTTTCACAAGCATAGAGCAAAACTGCTCTCACCGACGCGTTGTAGATCCAGCCTTTTACAGCCAGACTAACATCACGAAGGCGCCAAAGGTGGCCCAGATTGGCATAAGCCGCTCTGGCTTTCACTATTCGTGCATTGATCTCATCACTCACACCCCCACCAGCACTTATGCAGCTACCCAGATACACGAAGTTCTCGACTACTTTTATTTGCTCACCATCCGGCGTGAGTACAAGATTAGAAACCTGCCAGTCTTGTAAAAGTACTTTGTACTTTGAAGGTGCAAAGCACATACCGTACATACGGACATTGACACCCAACTGATTAAGTGCGGATTGCATGTCTTGGGCATTATCGCACAGTAAGACAATATCGTCCGCATACTCAAGGTCGAGAAGTCTTTCTCCAGGCAACAGATCCACACCACCATTACTTACATTCATCAGAGCTGTTTCCAGAATGTCATCGATGGCAAAGTTGAAGAGGAATGGTGAGATTGGGCAACCCTGCCTAACCCCACTGCTCGAATGGAACAATGGAGAGAGGTGGTTGTATGCCCTCACTCTGCCTGAGGTGTTTTTATACAGGGCTTTGAGGATGCTAATAAACTTCTTAGGCACACCATTCTTCAATAGACAATCCCAGAGAACAGTCCTATCCAACGAATCGAAGGCAGCCCTGATGTCAAGAAACACTACGATTTTTGGCCTTTGAAAAGTATGGCGGTGTTCTAACATTTGGCGGAGGGTGAAGATATGATCACATACATCCTCGACCAGAACGAAACCCAGCCTGCTCCTCGCGAGTCAATCATTCTCGGGTTTTGAACAACCTACGAAGAATGACGGAAGCAAATAGCTTGGACGCAATCGGAAGTAGACTTATCCCCCGATAGTTGCTACAAGAACGATGTGAACCCTTTTTAAAGATAGGGACAACTATCGACTCATTCCATGACGTTGGCACACTCTCTAGTTCCCAAACCTTGGTAAACAACGTCGTCAATTCCTTAGTCAAAAAGTCACCACCATCTTTAAAAAGAGCCGGAGGTAAGTCATCTGGGCCAGGTGATTTGTAACGCTTCAAGAGTTGGAGTTCCTTGCGGACTTCCTCCTCATTTGGTGGATCAGTCGTCACCGGCCATGGAGGGCAGGACAGTCTGACCGATGTTGCCGGAGCAGCAGGCCAGTTGAACTGCCCTTCGAAAAATTCTGCCCACCGTCCAAGACGTCGATGGATGTTAGTGATTGGCATCCCATCATCCTCGCAGATTGTTTCACTCACACCAGACTTCTTGCTGCCAGTGGCTCGGATGAGCTGGAAGAGCTTCCGGTAGTTACCAGATGCAGCTGCTGCTTCCAGCTCATTAGCACGCATCGACCACCAGGCTTCTCGGTCCTTACGCAAGCTCTGCCCAATTTCCTTACGTAACATCCTTCGTTTATGGTCAAACTCACGGTCACCCGGAGTAGACCGACGGGCTTCAATGAGTTGTAAGGAACCTGGAGAAATCCAGTGCTTATAAGCGGGACGTTTCGCAAACCCACAACTGACTGTTCCCGCCATTTTTATGGCGTCATGCAATTGCAACCAATGCTCATCTATACTTTTCGGTGGAGTGGTAGCTAGCCTAGAAGCTAGCTCGGTTCGATACTTACCTGCAACAGAAGTTGCAACCAGCTTGCTAACATCAATCCGTTGATGGCGTTCACTTCGTTGTCCACTGAAAAGTAAGGCAAGATTGGCGCAGACCAAGGCATGGTCAGAGTCCAGATAGGTACTCCAAAAGGAGCGGCAGTCTTGTACACAACCACGCCAGCGGTAGCTGATCGCGATGTGATCAATCTGAGTCCAGGCTTGAGATGCGGAGGGAGGACGCCAGGTGGCACATCGGTGATGACTGTGCCGAAAGTTAGTGCTAGCCAGAAACAGGTTGTGGTCTGTGCAAAGTTGCAGTAGACGGTCCCCGTTATCTGACCTGCGACCAACAAGTCCCCATCGGCCACCTAAACGACTCTCTTCTGTGCCTAGACGCCCGACCTGAGCATTCAAGTCTCCGGCTAGTACTACAATATCTGTCGAACGCACTTTCTGGAGAAGAACAGATAACTGGTGGTAAAACTCTTCCTTGATTGCATCCGGGCTGCAATCTGTCGGGGCATAGGCGGAGATGACGAAAAGACATCGTTTCTCATGCCGATTTCTTCTCACTTTGATGGAACTTTCTAATCTAACAGCACATAACCAACTGTTAATGGGGATCCAATCGACTAGTGCTGCCTCAGCTCTAGCGCTTAGTGCGACACCAACGCCAGCAAGACCAGACGAAGATGCCACAGGGTCCCCGGATAAGCGCACGTGAAACAAGCTTTTCGAAGCGACAGATGGAGATCGAATTTGTAGTACTTCACCAGAGTTTTGAATACGGGTCTCGGATAGACAACACACGTCAATATTAAGACTTTTCAAAGACATAGCCAGCCCTATCTGTTGTCCGACCTGCAGCCAGTTTGAATGGTGCACGTGGTTTCAGAAAAACTGCTTCAGTCCTCGTATTCGGTGGTAACATACAATTTTCAACCGGACAGTGACTCGAGAACGATTAGATACAGTCGGATTTACACCAAAGACGAGCCGCTGTATAAGTATAAAAGAGGGTGAATAATGTGGAAAATAATAATAATAATGATAATAATAATAATGACAATAATAGTAGTAATAATAATATTAGTATTAATAATGACAATAATTGTAATGATAATAATCTGAATCAATTGTTTGTTTTTCAAAGCGAGAAAGGTAATTTCCATAGGCATAAAGAGTTCATCAATTTGTGTGTGGGCTGTGATAGTGCCCGGGTGCCCAAACCGAAACAGGTGAATTTCTTAGGGGCCACTCCCCGAGCCTTTGACCTAAAGGTCTAACCCACAAGGCAGTGGAGCATCGTAAGTAGATGCAGTCCCATGGTAGCCGGTGACCAACGATTGGTTCATACGCCATTCGTTCCCGCAGGATACTGGAGCCCATGTGCACCATTGATTTGGAATCCGGTTAAAGCGCCGGACATTCGCTTTTCGTCCTCTCATTTTCGTAAACAACAGTAGTGCCACGAGAAGGCAGTGAGTAGGACTTCCCTGGCAGATACTGTATACGCGTGGCCATGTGAGAGTATTTCGAGAGGGAGAGCGGACTCTCCCCACTCTCGGCCGTACCAGGGCATTCAGGGGCCAACGTATGAATATGAACAATACAGTTGTCGAAGGAATATTTACTATATTTTATACTAGTTTGAGGAAATTTATGTATGTTTAACAAGTTGAAGAGATTGGTAACCCAGTGAAATCAAAGTCATGACCTGCTACATGTACATACATATTTACAATTTAACTATGTTAATTAAATGATTACAATTCAACATTACTTAAATATAGGGGATTAATGAATAACGAATATGTATCATCAATTAACTTTTCAGATAATTAAAAAAACCCATTGTGTCAGTGAATAAAAATAAAGAAAACTCAGTGAAGAAAATTTTACTTTTGACGAAATCATTCAATCATATGGGAAATATATGTTTATAAAAGGATAGAAAAGATTGCTTCGTAAATCGATTTGGGACTCTTATTATCAAGTAAGGTTACGCAATAATCAAGGGCTAAGAAAAGAATGTAAGGATGAAAATAATTTACGGGTCAGATAATTGTCCAGTTGACATATATGAAGAAAAACGACAAACATAAAGGTCATAATAATAACTGATTACAGTTTGGAATTACAAAACACTAAATAAAAAAATCGATGATAATAATAATAGAATAAAAAGTGAAAAAAAAAACGAAATATTACGGATGGGAATTAGGACCAAAGAAAAATGAGATGTTGGACGTATCGTTTTTGCATGCAAAGTTCGGGCTTGAAATGCTGGATTGCCAATGCCTCAGCATTGATTAGAATTTGATTAGACTTTCCTTCGATCAAATTACTTTGCGTAGATTATTTTAAAAGATTCCTTTGGAGAGAAGTGTCCATAGTCGATTAAATGCTTCTGTATTGACAAATAATTGCGTAACCTCATTCGATAATAAGAGTCCCAAATCAATTTACGAAGCAATCTTTTCTATCCTTCTATAGACATATATTTTTCATGTAACTATGAATATAAATGTACAGCTAAGTGAATGATTTCGTCAAAAATAAAATTTTCTTCGCTGAGTTCTCTTTATTTTTATTCAAATTAACTTTTCAAAGGTCAGTAGAATTCGTTAAGGCTTATGAAAATATTTTCGCGGTTTGTAACACGATTGAGGAATGGCACAATATGATATTATAAAAAGATGAGTAAAAGCACCATTTGAATGATATATTTTACGCTTCAACAGTACCTCTCATTGTTAAAAAGGCAGACGAGGTAAATATGTCAGTCAGTAACAACGTAGAACTTCGTACGTACGTATATAAGTTCGGATTACCATACGACATTAGCACAGAAATACACTTGTCGATTCAAATCCCATAGTGGTAGAGGTAGTAACAGTATAAGCAGTAATCGGGAAGATTAGGGTTTGGAGATGTTATTTAAAGAGTATAATCCAGTGAAATAAATTTAAGAAGAGAAAAAAGAGACAACGAGGAATAAGGAGACCAAAATTTGGGAGAACACAAAGAGTGGATGCACCTGTGCCATTGCAAACGATTTTGAGCCATGTCATTCAGGGTCTCTAACCGTCGGTTTCTATCATCTCGTGGTCCCCAACCAGGTAGTCTACACCTACCAACATGACTCAGTCCACTTGTCAGTGACTTCATGGACTTGTGCCATGTTTTGGTCTGGCCGCGCCTAGCTTTCTTCCAACCTACTCCTATACCACTGAACATAGCACGTCGAGGCAGTCGGTCGTTGGGCATACGTAACACGTGTCCCAGACATCTCAACTGATGAAGTAGTAAAACTCCATCAATTGATTTGCCATCCTTACCTAGCACCCGTTTCCTAACAACTGCGTTACTTACTCGATGGTCCCAGGATATACGAGCCATGTTTCGAAGACACCTATGATCAAATACTAGTAACCTACGAATATCCTCTACTCTTATTGGCCATGTTTCACTGCCAGAGAGTAGGACGCAACGAACTGCTGTGCAGTAAACCAGTCCTTTGGTTGGTATTGTTATAACATGAGTTATCACAGAACAGCAATCTCAGTAGAAAAGGTATTTTAAGCACAAGTTTGTGCAACGATATGACAAGTTTAACTTATATTTACAGTGGTAATGATGTACGGTTAGGTTCACTAACCCATATATAAACTCTTACATTTAATATGCAGTAATAAAACACATATATTTATACGTTTGAGTTCGTAGTACTACTATAAATAAATTTGGTGAAGAATGTGTAGCTGAGCAAATAAAATGTCAATAGCATCAACATATTCTAAACAAACTACAGTAAAAGATACAACTACACTGAAGTTCGATTTAATACTGAAAGCGTGTAATTAAGGACATCAAAACACAGATTAAAAAAACACTAATTTATTTAAGATTTACAGTAAAACATATTATTTAAATAATTACTGTCAGTTACTGATAAATGGGGAAAAAACTAAGGTTAATTAAAAGCTGCCTAGATCGGTTCAAAAATATCATTTGAGTAAAGAAGTTGAAGTAAATAAATAAGAAACAGATAGACGTACATGAAACTACAGTATTATCCTGGTTAAAATGTTCATTAAAGTTATTCAATAATAAACACAGCCATTCGTTATTTACAACTTCAATTAGAAAGATATCAGCAAGTGCAATGAGAAGAACAACATTAACATTTCATCATATTCCTACTACAAGAGGAAAAACATGTATAATTGTTCTAAACCTGAGAAATAAATTAAAACTAAGCAAGTTACCGGTAGTAAATAATTTTTGTAGCAAAATGCTGCCATTGAATAAAATAAGTATTGTCTTATTTAACATTTACAATATTGGTTTTAATTTTTGAAAAAAATTGAAAATTCCTACTATTTCCATGGGAGCTATAAGTTGAATAAACTAAATTATCACTAAAAAAGACATACGATTATACATATACTGTAACAAAGTATATATATATATATATATATATACCATAATTGCTTTCCAGTATGCAGAAAAATCTGACTATATACAGATTTACTTGTTATATATATATATATATATAAAGTCACCTCGGATTATTGATTTTCGTTTTACGCCTATATACTGGCCCGCGTGAAGTCATATACCGTGTAACACTTAAACGTATACGTTCTTGAAGTCCATTTGAAAAAGTTGGTGGTGAAGTTAGTGATGATCGCTTTAGTTCCTTCGATACGAACGAATGAGTTAGCTGGAAAATAGAGTTGAGATAATTTCTTTTTAATTGTCTAAAATATTACATGAATGTAACGAAAATCGAAAAAACAAATTAAGAATGATGTATTACAATGATACCAGCAATATATTTTGACTATCCCTTTATTGAAGATCATGTTCACCACAAATGAACATTAGTTTTAAGATGGGCAGATGTAAACAGAACATTAAAGACACTATAACTACAATGAGATAACAAATATATAAGTGAAATCCTGAAGAGCGATACGAATAGTGACTAAATAGAAACTAAACTCATGGAAGAAATCTGACGGCATTTCTTGATGTACATCAAGTTGTTATTTGTTTATGAGTATTCCGTTGTAATTTTATTGGATGAGCGGTATTGACAATAAATATATAGCTCAAGATGAACATACATAAAATATAATAAACTTATTTTGACCATGGAAGGAACTGAATGTGTGCCAACGTAAGTACAGAAGGGAAGTTTAGAATATTCGTATTGACGAGCTGGACAATATGTTAAGAAAATTCTGTCTTTCAAAAATACAATTTTACGTTGTTGAGGAGTCGTAGTGAAAATGAAAAAGACTATGAGCCATCAAATACAGGTATACTCTCTTAATTTTACTTACAGGAAAACTCATTTGCATGTATTTCTTACATGAGATGTTTTGTCTTCTACATTTCGCAATTTCTCATTGCTATTTGAAATGCAAAACTTATGGAAGATGGGAAAATGAAGTAATTAGATATCAGCTTTAAGCCATGGACGTATATCATACATACATGTTACTAGATAATAAAAGAGTAATCCTACTTTTTTCGTTATATGCACAAAGTCTTCGCTTGAGTCTATACGACCAGTCAAACAATTGGGTAGTCTGTAGGGCTTCAGAAGACGCAAAATGTAATTTCCAACCTAAAGAGAATTAAACAGAAAATTTTGTCATCAAACTGATTCGGCAAGATATTTGAAATGATCAGAAAACATAGAACACTAAAAAATTGATGTAGGTGACCATTTTGAAAGCTTAAGTTAATTCAGTATATGAAGTGTGATCTATCCCCTTAAAAAATTATAACGCACTTGATCCAAACAGTATGAATAAATACACGTAGGCTAGATTGAGAATATCTTGATGATACACAAATGGTTCACATACGATTTATTATTTTGACCATCCCCTACAACATCAATTTAACAATTAATATTAATTTATATGTTCGACTTGGATCTATACCTCTTGTGGAAATCTAGTGATACCATCAGAATGACGGAAACAGAATATGAAAAATTTGAGTTTTAGATCAATTCAAATAATTAAATAAAAGCTCTGAAACCTTGGATAATAATAATGTGTGAGTAGAGTCACTGGTAACTGATATGAGGATAAGTGTAGGACTAGCCACTTATATTTAAAGGTTAACTCACAATCGATTTCATGGGTGTGAAATTACGCCCCTTAGTAAGTAGAAGATTCACAAACAGCAAAAAATGTGATAGAACTCAGTGGTCAACTAACCTCATGCGTAAACTGTCTTTTCATCTGTCCATATTGCTCTTCAGTAAGAGTGTTTTTCTGAAAAGCAAAACAACGGTATTTAAGGATTTAGAAAATGAATAGTTTTAGACTATTAAATTTGATGAAAAGCTCAATCAATTATCACATGAACTGTTTTTCTTACGTCATCTTTTTCATTGGAATTTATTAGTGGCTTCTCCCACTGAACACTATTGGTTTCTTTATTGTAATAATACAGTCGCCCACTCGAGTCAGCAGCTGATCTCCAGCCCGCAGGTAATGAGTTTAAGTCATCATCAGCATACCGTTTGAGTTCTTTACAAAGACGCGTAACCTATATCATTTTAAATATAAAAGTGCAGAAAAATATTTCAGAAATACATTCATATAAGGGTGCAGATAAGTGCCTTTCTAAAGATTAAGATAAGTAGACAGAATTATGAGATTAATGATTACATATAAAAGTTTTAGACCATTTAAGCACAAATTCAAGACACATATTTGAAAAGTTAGGAAAACTGTGAATTAAACCGCATTAGAGAAAACAATAGTGAAGCTAAGAAAAAGTTGTACAAGTAGATGAATTATTATTCCCTGAACACGTTAGTTAAAACATATAAAATTAATAGCACATCTTGAAACCTAAATTGAAGTCTACAGATGATTTGTACAACAAAGTATTAAGATAGGACCTATAAATGGTAAGAACGACTTTGTAGGAGGTTAGATGTGCATGAAATAAGAATAAAGTAAGAATCAATAGGAAGTTTAATTACAATAGGAACACACTGTGGAAGATTACGTTTGATCAGTAATCGCGTCACAACTTATTATGAACAGAAATGAAAAGCAAAACGTGATGTTTGGTGACGCTTTAAACCGCTAAATTGCATATACTCTCTAGAAAACTGACAGAACAGCTATAATTTGGATAGAATGTATGCTAACGCACAGGGAAACAATTTTTTGTGCTGAACGTCCATGGTGAAATCAAAGAGGAATCCCAACGATTGGTAACTCTAAACAAAATCACCGTTGGTTTAAAAGAATGTTGTACCTCACAATACATGATATTATTACAATTCACTAAAACACTACCATTCTATAAAAAGTAGTCCTATAGTACAGAACTAACTAGCAAACTAAAGAAATCCATGATAAGAAATAATTATTGTCAGCCCTTAGGTACCAGGTCTCATTTACCACGAGACTCAAGTGCTTAACACAATACAAATAAGAAAACTGGTTCGATAGTTGTATAGCATAGGAATACCATTACTTGTAACTGTCTGCCCAAATGGAGGAGCTATTCATCCTTTTCATGTCTGCTTCCAATATCCAGTGAAGTATGTTCTTTGGTCTTCTTCTTCTTTCCCATTTCCCTTCAGGACTACATGTTGGCGATTGCCTCGTGATGCTGTTGGATGATTTCCGTCAATTATGTCCTATCCACCTCCAGCGCCATTTTCAAAACTGATCTTCATCCCAAAGCTGGTTTGTCCTCTCCTACAGTAGACTGTTGCTGATAGTATCCAACTAACACACACTGAGTGTCTGGCGTAAACAATTGTTTATAAATACCTACATATTTTGATGAAAGTTGTAGTAGTTCTCTGTACACTAGGACTGTTTCGACCTTTGTATTGAAGACTTTTGCTTTCACGTTGGCTGATGAACTAATTACTTCTATGAATTTGGTGTTTAACTTGTTCCGCTGATGAGATACAGCAACTTTGAACAATACACTTATGTGCTTGTTCCTACGTTGTAAGTGACTGAGTTATTTTTAGTTACATACGTTCTCCGGTTGTAAGAATTCTGCCCATGTTTTGCAAATCAGTGCCTTCTCATCTACATCAGATCCTCCTTGTTCATCAATTATGCTTCTCAGTCGCGTGAAAGCATCCACCTATTCCAGTTCTTCTCCATAAATTGTGCATTGGTTGAGTTTTTCATTCAGTTGAAAAGAACCCTGTTGAAACTTTTACTGGTACTGATAGTAGTGTAATGCGTTCGTAGTTCTCACACTTGTTCAGATCTACTTTCTCTGGTATCTTGGTGAGGTATCCTTCTTTCTAGTCTGTTGGCACTTGTTCTTCTTCCAAATCTTTCTGAATAGAATATGAGGCATCTTTGCAGTTACTTCTGTGCTTGAATTCAGTGCTTCAGCTGGTATGTTGTCTGGTCCTGTTCTCTTCTCAATTTTGATTTGTTTGATGACCATCCTGCTTTATTCGATCGTTGACGGAGTGACATCTATAGGAAGGTCTGTGTGTGTTGCTTCGATGTCCGGTGGATTCAGTGGACCTGAAGTATTCAAGAGTTCGTGAAAGTGTTCTACCCATCTTTTCTTCTGTTCTCGAATTCCAGTAATTAGCTTCCCTTCTTTTTCCTTGACCGGTCTTTCTAGATTGCAATATTTCTCTGCCAGCTTTTTTGTTGTGTCATATATTTGTTTCATACTTCCATCTCTTGCACCTTTTTAGCTGTCGTTGCTAGGTCTCCCACATATTTCTGCTTGTCGGCTCTAATGCTCCTGCTCACTTGTTTGTTTGCTTCTGTGTATTCCGCGTGTGCTTTGACTTTCTCTGCTCGTGCTCGACTGTTGTTAAATGCCGTTTTCTTGTTTTTCCTTTCTTTGATCTTGTCCAGTGTTTCTATAGAGATCCATTCCTTATGATGATGCTTCTTGCAGCCCAGAACCTCCTGACACGTTGAAGTTAATGCTTCTTTGATTTCTTTCCAGTTGTCCTTCATAGTAGTTTCTTCCTCCTTCAGTAGATCATGTAAGGCTTGGAACCTATTGTTGAGAGTTATCTTGAATCCGTTGATTTTTTTTCAGTATTTCGAAGGAAGGTTGTATTGGACCTTCGCAATTTCGTTTCTCCAGTTGTCCATTGCTTATTTAACTTCAGTTTTACATTGATCTTCTGAATTTTTTATTGATGCAAATATGATCGATTTGGTTCTCTGAATCTGTTTAATGGAACTAACGTTACACAACAAGAAATATTTAGAGGATAACTCACCAAATCTGAATCGTTGGAACTGGACATCAAAGTCAACATACGAGGTAAGGCTTGTAACAAAGTAGAAACAACAGGCATGCTTTTCAATTCTACAGCTATGTTAGATAAAAGATTTGAAAGGGCAGTATCGTTTCGACCGCACTCACTTAAAAGTGCACAGAGTAATAGCTGAAACAATGAAAAGAACGAATACTAAATAACACGAACGTGAAATGATGCAAAGAGAATCAACCAAATATTACTGGTTTGTGATTTGCTATTTCTTAGCATGGTTTATTTACGGCCTATAATTTTATCACTAAAATTTTATTGACATAACACAATGTATCTAACCCTAAATGTTTATAGTTGTGAAGTGAAAATCAAATGCCACGAAATCATTTAATATTCTAGAAATATCACTCTGAGTTGTCTCGTTCACAAGAGAGTCGATGTATGAGATAATTTTTTAATATTATAATAAAGTGAATATTTTTAGTACTAATTTACGGATTATTTTTAATTATAATTTTGTTGTTTGATTAGTAAGCAACTGGGTTACTATCTTTATGTACTCTGTTGATGATAAGTTTTCGGTTAACGCATTAACTACTATCATGCCTTCAAAATTTGTTGACATTCTATTACTTACATTTACCCTATTCATAGCCGCTTTTCGCCCGTTTATGTATACTTTTTCATTTTATGACTTGATGCGGCTGGTATGTCCGTATATAAACTACGTTTGTTTGAAGCATATAAAGTAGAAGCTGTTTGCTGACTTTTGGACTTAAGGAAGGTAAAGAGAGAAGTTTACGAGATGCGGACCAATAGGAAGTTAGTTGTATCAGTTCACGATCAAAATTGCTCGTGAGGTATGTAGCTGATCAAGTCGAAGACAATAAGCTGTACAAGAAGTGGTAGGAACGAAACAGACAAAAACGAGAATTAGGAATCTGACTGATGACTTGGCATGTGATATCAGTCCGCGGTCTCGAGACATAACGTTTTATGTTCGTAAATTTGCCATCAACTGATCAGACACTATGTGAAGACCATAAGACTAAGAGTAATGAACATTTCATGGTAGTATTCTAGAAAAAACAAATTTTAGATTTTGATTTTATCACAGAAGTTTGGGAGCAGCCATCATATTGACTGGAAAAGTAATACTAAAATACGATAGGATTAAACAAAACAAAATGATAAATTAATATTGATCAGGAAATTAATTGTTGGCTGTTACAAACAATATATTTGGATTTGATAAAATGTTGTAGAAAAATGGAATCATAAGTAAATAAAGGTAAGAAACAAGCAAAAAAAAATTACCTGACGAAGATGATCTGTATCCTTTTCGTCATTAGATGGATTTGTCTGCACAAAATCATCCGATGTAGGAACAGAATTTTCAGATGAACATTGATTTTCATTAGCTTTAACTTGAGCTTCGAAAAGCATACGTCTCTCAGCTTTGGACAAACATGACGAACTGTTGGATGCTTTTGGACCATTCTGCTCTCGAATGAAAGATGAAACCAGTTTGTCACGCAGACTTGAGAAAGAACAAAAACAGGGAACTAATTATAGTATTGCAGAAAGTGCTCATTATTTCATGAAATCGGGATAGATAGTATAAAATCATGTGTACCTTATTTCGACAGGAAGCTTTTTAAGAAACCATAAAGTATAAAATAAGAAACACTGTATAATACCCACTGATCGGAAGTGGTACATTTGAAGACGTAAATCTTCCTCAAACAACAACAATCCAGCAAGGACTAGTTAAGATAAAAGAGTGATAGTAGGTTTAATGAAATTTAAATGCTTTACTGACTGATTCGAACGGCAAACAGTTGGTATCCTGTCGCTGTTCTGGAAACCCTGGGTATATTTATAAAGAGTAAAAAATCCCTAGAATTATTTAATATGGGAAAACGCATAGGTAACTTACGTTTTATTTGACTGGAATTTACTGTTACTATTGTGAGTCCAAGATTTATTGGATATTGCTTGTTCATCTGATAAACCAAACAATAAAAATAACTGACCAATTAAGGAAACAATATTTAGTTGTTATAACTTTATGATCAATGTTAAAATACGGTGTAATCGAATTTCAGATTGTTTATTGAATCACACATTTGTTTACGAGTCTACAGCTATCATAAACTCAGCTAACATTTCATTTAAACCTCCTTTCGATATTGTTATTTGAATCGTTTTTACCTACACATTCTTAGAAATCTGATATTCACACAAAGAAAAAGTAAAGCATTACAATAAGCAGTCATGTGTAGTTATGATTGTTGTGAATGTGCAATGCTGAAGAATCCCAAACTAGGACGAAGCAGTTGTCCAGTGCTTTCTCGTTCTTAATAGTAATCTAAAATCGGTCTGTGATGCAAACCATGAAAATGTACGTCTTCATAAAGCCCCTATATCAAAACTTTTTTCGGTCTAAGCAATCCTTAACTATGGTTTTACATAAAAAGCAACTTAAGTTTTTAATAGTTCTATGAAATGAACAGAAACATTTAGTTCCAAACAGTACCGACCTTTGTATTCCGATCCCCAAGAGATAAGAGAAGAACCAATTGGATTTGATATATGAAGCATTTTCTCGGTCTCTTGACGCTCCAATCGCGGTATCCGGTAGTTTTCCTTCTATCATAACACACAGAAACATATAAATGGCATTATAATAAAAACAAGTTCGAAGTAAATGATGATAATAAAATATATAACCAGTAAATCCTATAGATTGTGAAGAACTTACCGGTAATTTAGACCATTTTTCAAGCAGTTTACAAGCCAAAGCCTTGATCTCTTCTATCCATTCCTCATTCGTCTTAGCTTTACATTCTTCAGTATCCATATTTATTTCGTTGTTGTCGGCTGCATATCCGATTTCAATTTCACCATTATCATCATCCACAACAGTTACGGGGGACATATCACAATCCGAAGTTTGAGTGATAGCGTTAAATCCTTCTTCGTAAACTGGGAGTGTCGAAGCATGCAACACACATGATGCATTCTCCTTCAAGGAAGAACTAAATGAGTCGGAACTCGAAGGTGATGCAGCAAAATCACTATTCTTATCACCTGTTTGTATGGAAGATGATTCATTGTCCTTGGTACTCTTAGAAACTGAAACATGAAAAGTAAATATTGTAAATCTTAGAATGAAAGTAGATCATCTCACAAGAAATTACATTATGGTGAATTTTTGCACTTAGATTTTTATGAGAAACAGCCACAGAATATAGAAAAAATTTTCAATATTAAGAGAAACAATAGAAAAAACACAAGTGAACAGCTTCCATAATTAGTAAGACCGAAGCTGCGCATGATACATTATGACATCAAAAGTTCCTAAACCTTTGAAAATGATGTATCGAATTCCCAACATTTATACATAAATGAGCTGCATATGTCAAGTTAGTTAGCAAACAAGCAATGAAAACTGAATCCAATATTCAAACCTTTGGTGTAGTGGACAGTCTCTGACCAGGGTTTATTCCAAGTATTTTAAACAAACGTTTTAGTGTATTCAACGATAATAATTCATTAGTGTTAAAAGTTAATAAATATCCGTTTATAGTGTTAGCCGGAAAAGGTTTAAAACGTTTTGTCCATCCAGCAATAAATAGATGTTGAAGACATCTAGAAAAATAAAGAACTACGTGACATCTCGTTTGGAATATTACTTATATGGTTATGAAAATCAATGAATAAATCCCACTTCCTGTGAATAGATTAACCATTGAAGTAAAGCTTTAAATGATATCTTGCGCCTTTCCCCTACTGTTTGCGTTCAAATATGGAAGTAATCTGAGATACATGAGGCGTCAATGGAGTTAGTAACAAGCGTTTAATTACGGGAAAATAGAGTTAGCATCCTCATATTGATGAGTAATTAGTCAGTTAAACAAAGGAGAGTATATACATCGATTTACCATAGCAATAAAGAGTTTGTGAGAATAGTGTGTAGTGAAGATTAACATGAGAAATATGATGTCCGATGAAGTACCATAATAAGTGTCCTAAATTTAAGAGAAAATACAATCTGCAATTAATTTGTATCAAGTTTCAACGTGAAACAAAACATTGGACGAGAAGGAACGGAACAAAGTAATAGCTGGAAGAAGGACGGATCTCAGTGATAAACACCGAGTTTAGATAAAATACGTGAAAAGTAATTCCTATTTACATTACAATCGAAAATCTCTATAACCCTAAGTAAGGGTGTTTTTAAAGCGTCAATATTATAGAACTACACGGAAATGTTTCAAAATCTTGACTTTCACAAAGAGCAATATTAATTTCATTAGCACTACTAAAAGTACAACTATACAGGTTGTACAACATAAATACATCTGTAACTTCATTCACAATTCGTTCTTCGTTTTAATATTATGGCATCTATTTCACCCTACTCATCAAGTGTTCAGTTAGAATGGCATGAATAAACCGACAGGCCGCCAAATCTAAAGACCAAAAATATATTCTCCTACTGGACATTCTGAAGCAAACGCAAAAGCGCTTTGTGAATGTCTTCGGAATCCTGATGAAAAGAAAGACCAAATTCACCATAGTTTGTATTTTAACAGACGGAATGTTAGTTGAGAATAATATGTTCGTAAAGGATCGTTAGAAATCTTATGTTAAAGTTCGCATCTGTAATAGCAAGAATTATTAGTTTTTGAGTATGGTATTTGTTATCATCAAATTAATAAACCTAATACGATCGGTAAGCGATATAATTCATAACCAAAAGCTATCTAACTGACAGGGGGAATATGGGTGATCATGAGAAACATATGCCGAACTACTAGCTATCACTAAGTGGCCAGCCACTGCTGGTTGAGGAGAACTCAATATAGACTTGGTCTGTGAACTGGGTACTGTTGTAAATTGTGCAAACAACTGGTTAAACTGGAAATCATTTTACTATTTGTTTTTTGGTTTTTCGTGATATTCTTGTGTTGATCTCTCTGAAGAACAGAAAATGGTGGTAAGCTGAAACAAAATATGACAATCTGTCCTTTTTACTGTTTGATATGAACAGATTATAAAACTATGGGTTCAAATATATTATTTCCACTTAGATAAAATATGAAAATGAACTTTTTAACAAATAAATTGCCAATTTAATCATCCAACATACGTGATTTTGTTTCATCAGAGTCGAAATTCGACTCCATAGGGAGTTCATCAGTGGAAAATCTAACCAAAGTAACATTTGAAGTATCTAAAAGCAAAGTTCAGCAGTTTGAGCAACTTTACCTGCTATATGTACATCAGCACTCTTCCACGACTCGGGAGGAATACTACGTGCCCGACAGTGGTGAGGATTGGAAGTCCACTGTGCTACTATTTCCATAAGGCGTGAATTCGACTGTACCTGTTTTTGCTCTGAAACAGGGATGTGTTTCAAGCAAACTAATATCTAGAAAGAAATAGATTTGCAAACATACATGAGGTTTTGATTTTGTTAACGTATAAAATATATCGAAGCGCAAGCAAATAAAGTGATAATAAGCGAAATGCATGTGAAAGTAGCGCATATGCACATATTATAATGAACGAGAACATAGGTGGGGACAACCGACTGTATTTAAATGCAGAATCTCTTGGTAAAATATTAGAACCATACACTAAATACTTCACTTGAAAATTTTCATCATTTATACTTCAAATTATGTATGATTCTTTCAGCCCACAATTCCTTTCTACTTTCCCTTCTATTCTCTTCAACTCGATCTTCTCAGCCTTCTGCTGCCAGGTTTTTCGCTTCCAACTGGTGTTACATACTGCTTATATTTGTCGACATAAGTAGCACACACCGAAATACAAGCAAATTTGTTATTTATATGAACTAAGTGAATTCAAAATTAACCACCACACTGGAAATTACCATGTGTAGGTATGAAACGGAAAAGTTTTAAGACACAAAGAGATACCTCAGTAGTTTAGCAAAACATTTCGCACAAAGAAAAACAATTTTTCCATATACCTGCTTTTTGAGTTCCCAATCTTTCGGCGCTGCATCACACATAAAGGCCGCCAACATATCGAGACCATTATACTGTCGAAAAAGTTTAAGACAAGCATCGTTTTCTGTTTTGATCAGACGGCTGAGAAGCTGCAGTCGAGTGTACCTTGTAAGGCATTCTTGAACCATAACTTGTAATAACAGAGTTATATCGTCTGCATTTCTGAACGAATCTAATTGAAGGAGTTGGAGAATGCGTCTTTCAACCTAGAGGTAAAATGAATTTAGCAAAGGAATATGTCAACTGTGATAGATCCACTACAATTAGTAGAATGGGATAAAACGATTTCCAAATCCAAATCACGTCACGTAAGCAGTTGAAAATTAATTCTCAACTTTTTATTTGATATTCTTGTAAATAATGCAATTAATTTAACTAAATAAAAAATCCGTGTACTAGGCTATAGGCCATACTCTTTGTGAGGATAATTATTCAATTTGGGTGCACAAACCGGAGATAGAACGGGATTCGGACCAGTGAATTAGGGATTGGAAGTCGAATGCTATAAGCAACTAACTGATCTTTGTGGTAAATAATTTGGGAACTGAGCATGTTGTTTCCTGCAGCAACATTAAAGGAACCTAAAGTAATAGAATGGATGAGGTACTCAGGATAGTCTAATCCTATCCTACTTGCTTTTGTACAAGCTTTTGAAGATGTTAGCAAATATATCGAACAGAAACCTATTTAGCCAGTGAATTCACTGCATAGTTTAAGTCAACTGGTCGATGGTAGTGTGATGGAAGCAATTCACAAGACTACTCGTACATAGTGTGTAGTGGAACGTGGTGTCGAAGTTATCACAGTCGTCAGACGGAGAGAAGAGTTTCAGTGCACCAAAATCACGGTGTAGGCAGAACACTTGATGACCAGGAGAGAAGACAGTTCGGGTTGAAGAACACACCGCAAGATGCAGATGGATGACCAGAGGTTATGCATACATACAGTGTAATTTCTTACAATAAAAATCCCTTTTGTTCATTGCCTTGTTTTACAGTAGTACTAACAAGATTAAAGACATTTACTATTGACCAGCAACACATGTGAAAGTGTTCGGGGACTTATGGAAAGATAAACACGACCAATCCATGCAAGATGTAAGCAAACCTCAGCTTGTTTTCCAACTTCTTACCAAAACTTCTTTTATGAGAAATTTGTCTTCAGTTACCAATATTTTGTTCCATATTTTGGAAGATAGATATTAAGACAGCATTGTTCTAGAATTCAATCGGCTCCTTGATCGTATATATATATATATATATATATATATAACTGGCAGGTTGTTACGACCTATATTTCTTACGGCAAATTCAAACACGCAGACTCATGTTAACGGAGTGGGGAAGATCAGCCGGGTGCAGGTTTTCGTAACTCGATACTTGGTAAACTTGATCAGTGAAGATACATTATGTGGGATCTTTCATTAGATGTATCCAAGATATGATTCATAAAAGCACTAAATGATGACAAGAAATTAACTCAGCAATAACTCAGCCCAATGAAACATTCGATTTAGTTACCCACGTGAATGATACAACTGGTTTTGACGAAACATCGACAAGATAAAAATATAAATCGCTTGAGACGCTAAATTACTTACTGAACTTATGATGAAGATAATAGTATAGAATCATGCAAGACACACGCAAGTGCTGCAACAAAACATAGAGTTATTTTTGTCATATTACCCCCTTGAGTAGCACTGGAAAATTGCCCGTTAGTTTTTTGTGTATTTTTGTTAGTCCGAAGGAGTAGTATCTAACTTACAAATCCTAACCTGAAGCTACGGTTGCAAGATTATCATATAACTACTTAATCGCTCAAAACCTAAGTCACTGGTAACTGTGGTTCGAATTATGACACATTGAGTAGCAGTAAGAATATTTTGCTAAGCCTTATCTCAATTCAAAAGTGTACTTATGTCATGATAATTGATACTTGAAAAAAAGGACGCCTAAGAACAGGTAGTATAAGGTCGAAAACGAGAAAAACTTAAGTCATCCTATTGATATTTTACTGCAAAATGTCTAGCTTTCAATTTTGCTCAGAAGTCAGTAACAAAACGATGAGTATTTTATCCCAAACTGACTATGCATTTTTGACTGTTTCAAACTGGATTTCTTTCGCCATTTAGGACAAATTTAACTGCTGTCAGTTACGAAGTGTTGGCGATAAAAGTAGATAAAAAGAAATCACAAAAAGATACATTGCACGCACTAACAATCCATGACATACCATTGTAGTGTCTTTCATGCGAACTTTTTCTTGCAAATATTTGCTGGTCGCCCCCATTACACCAGAGCAGGTAGACGCACCACAATAACACTTTTGTTCAGAAACCCTGAATTTTACAAAACAATAAACAAGAATATAGAACGAATAAGTTTAAAAGTCAACATAGTGGTGAAAGAACAGATTTTGTTAAATGCGTCTTATTGGATGTTAATAAATTTACCTCATCCAATCATTTAAACTTGCCCCAAGAAGAATGGATACGATTGTTCGCTTAGATTTTTTTAATGTGAAGTGAGTTCAACCTGAATAAACATTGGTTTGAGTCAAAAAGGAACAAAATAAGTATTTTATAGTTAGTCGAATGGTGCCAGTTAATTTTACGAAACGGAAAAGTTGGAATTAAAAATCGGATTATGTATAATACCTAATATGACGTATCTGTATATTTGTTACAATTTGGGCAAAATTGGTCTCGAAGCTCGTGAGTATGCATTTGTGAATATAGGATAATAATATAACATCACCTTCTGACCTTAAACGAACATAATTTTACCAGGTTGCACACTGAAATCGGGATTTCAAGGATCACTCGTTATTTTATTGTCTACGAGCTCTTACGGTAAGTATACTTTAATACAGCTTATTTACTGAGTATAGGTTTACGCATTAAAATCTGAGCCATGATATAGATATATAGCACCACCTCCCAGACTGAAGTAGGATAGAGTTCTTTATAAAAATCTGAACTTCAATAAAGACATTTCGGTACCTGGGATATATTTGGGTGGAACCATAGAAACATTTTATGTAAAATTTCCTAAAAGCTGTGTGTAAGAATAAGTCTTAATTTTCAACCTAGTCACAGAGTAACTATAAAGCAAACATAGTTTAGTATGATTATATAGTCACAGCTGATCCAAGCATGTAGGTTTAAATAAAAGCCTTTAAACCTCAATATTTCATGTACTTATTTTCAATTGCCGAGTGGCAGATTCCAACATTTTGCATACCGTCAAGAAATTCATGTAGTATTACCAACAGCGGGTTGATTTATTGACCTAAATTGAGCTGAATTGAGATACACTAATTGGGATTTTGTTCGGTTATTTGAATACATGATATCACAAAAAATAACATCGAAAACTAACCACTGACACGTGAAACGTTATTGCTTCAAGGAACACACCAATATCACCAGTAGTTAATACCACTATTTGTGTGGATAGAATCCAAAGTCCTATCTATCAGCTGAACTTTATCATTTTTAAATGATAAAATACGAATTAGATTCATTTAGATACTCATTACAATCATTTAGACTGTTTCCCAGCACAATCATTTTGACACGTAATTGCAAGCTAGACACCTGGTAAATAAACATCACCGAAGAATATTAAACACATATTACGAATCTCAAGGTTTATAGATAGTCAGCGCTGTTAAAAGTGCTATTAACAAAACTGGTTTTGCTTTAACATCTACACAAAGTTGTTACATTTAATCAAACATCTAGGTTTAACGCAATTTTATTCTGAAAACACATTACACAACACATACCCATACTGGACAAACTGATAATCTATGGTTACTTCCTGACCAGATGGGATATCTTCTTTAGCAAAAAATCCAATGCGTATTTCACCATCCACACTCCACTAAGAAATAAAAACAAAGATAATAAAATACCGTAAGTAGGTGCTAATGGGCAAGTTGTTTTCTAGGTATTACGATAGTACTACGAATAACTATAACGAACAACTTATTGAACTTTAAATATATGAACTATCGATTAACTAATTAGTTTAAAACTTATCAAACATTCAAGATGATTATTTATTTACCTTTTGAGTAACACAGTTGGGTTCGCATGAGTGATTTACGAATCTTGCCCAGTTGCCTTTACTACCAGCATCGATGAATCTATCTGACTCCACAGCCATAAAGTAGTGATGAGCGTGACCCAGGCGTTCGTACCGCCGGATACGTCGACGAAATTCAGAAAAGTCAATTACTTCTCCCACATATTCAATTACAAAAGATCCTCTACAAATAAAAAGTTCCAATGGAGTAGTGTATTGCATCAACTTACTTCTCGACGTTATCTGTTGCCATCAGTCCCCACCCTTTGTCTTTACCCGCATAAAAGGGTCTTGTCGGAGCGTAAAGCCTCATCTGGAACTGACGATTACTACAAAAATCACCAGCAGCACAATGCGGTCCGCACTCAATATTCAGAGCACGGTTGATACAACCAGGACCACAGGAAAGTATGCCTAGATCAAGTTCCACTGGAGTAGGAGCGACGCAATCACAAATCCATTGTCGCATCTCATAGTGTAATGAACTAGCACGCAATCCAGATGCCCCAAGAAGCTTACCACTCCCCGAGTATGTTGACTTACTGGGAATCGATGAACGGGTCGAATTCAAAAGACTGTAGTCATTGTTCAACAAGTGAGTGTATTGTGGAATAGGTGCCCCAGGATACGAAGAAAAAATGCTGCTAAGATCAACATCATAACTGTGGGACAGAAACAAAAGGATATTTATGGAAGTCATTTTTGAATCAACAAAAAAGTCAATTCAGTAGTTCTAGCAATTGTCATTTAGTTATCAACTAATCTTATCAGCAACTCGAATGGTAAGCTTATCAGAATTAATATTAAGAATATTCAATAGAGCTTTAGGAAACAATGGATCCAAGAAATAGCCACCTACACAGTTATTCTCATGAGGATTAAAATTAACAGATACAGCTGGAACAAAGTTAGGGTCTAAAAACTGATTTCTGAAAATTGTTATTAATCACAAGCAGGTTTAAGATAGCAGTGATATGGTAACAGATTTGTACATTCATACGGCAATTCACCGAGGCAAATTAACTCATTTTCAAAAAAGTCCTGTTAGACCCAACGAATGAAACCAAACAATTTTTGAAAGGCATTAGAATTAGCGATTCGGATAATAAAACGCTAAGCTTAGATATATAAGCTCTCATCACACTCAACTTTTAAGAAAGATGGGATCACTTTCGGATTCTACGAACTTTCACAAAAGACCTAGAGTACAAAATCCAAAATGCTATCAATAGAAACAACACACCATTTGGGAGCAGGTAAACCATGTGGTTCACATTAATGTAGCTAATATTCTTGAAAGCAGAGAAATTCATTAGTAAGACGTGAGAACGAGAATCCACCGGGTTTTTGTCGATGACCATTTACAGTAACACAATTTTCCAACGCTGTGTTTCCTACAAATCCCGAGTCCCTTGTGCGTTTTATTTCTCTTAACAAAATGAAAACTAACCACACTAACTACAATAAGCTAGACGACAACTGACAATTTTGTCCTCAATAAACACCGTACAGGGTAAATACATTTGACTGCCTATGGACTGATAAGTGCAAACGACCATATCGTACGATAAAACAATTGAATGAACACATTTTGATTGAGCTTGGATTTTAAAAATGCCTGGAAGTTAGGGAGTAATTACGATAACCGGTAACCTAAACTACCTGAGAAATATTAGTTAAAAGGCTACGTGGAACACCAACGAGAACTAACAGTTAGATCTTCATGGTGCAGAACTTGGGATGCTTTAAGAACTGGTACAAATGATTACGCTTGTAACGTACAAGTCTTATTTCGAACAAAACACCAGACGAAACCAAACTATGCTTGTTCTGCGTAAACGCGCTAGACGTCTGAGTAGACAATGTGGGCGGTAATCGTTAAACGCTATTTCAGATCATTATTAACCTTGTAGGATGTAATTTTGTTGCTAAAATAATCAAAATGAGCATCTTTAAGTTGCAATTAAGTAGACTTACTCGGATAACCTTTCATACGGATTGAGAGTGTTGGACAGAAAACACATCGGGATATGAGGCTTAGTCTTCCGTTTCCGCAGGTCGTATTTCGATTCGCATGGCCTAATGTCCTGTGTACTGACAACTGTTAGTGGTGTACCATCTACGTGTTCAACAATTTCAGAGCACTGGATATCTAACACATCCAGGTCTCTAGCAGGTTGTGACTGGATGCCATCAGTCACCTCACACATTTTTTGAACACCTTGCATATCCAAATGCTGGGATGACTCGTTGATGGAACTAGGTTCACTTGAAACATGAGAAAATAAGTCAGGAACTGAGATGGGTTCAAGGACGTCATTGACAGTGACGATAAACTCACCCCCAGGACAGCTCTGAGCATTATCAACTTCTACATTATGTGGACAGACTGTGTCCAACTCCACATTCGACTCCGACTCCATGACATAGCTATCCACCGGCTGAACTTCCATACAATTTGGTATATTGTTAGGTGGAGATGGTAGTGGTATTTCATCTACAAAACAAAAGGTAATTTCCAGACATTCGAATAAAATCTGTTAGGGAAACCCTAAGAAATAATCTTAGCGGAAGGACCAAGATTCATACGACTACACAGCAACCACTGCGAATGGTAGCTAAGACTAACGAGTGCTAGACTCCACCTAAACTGAAATCACAAACTACCAACACAAACGAGTAAACAAATGACAGATCACCCGCAATAAAACTGTGTCAAACTTATAAACTCGATAAACGAAACACCCCAAGAGATATCGCCAAAGAATAACAACCTCACTCTGACAGGATTTCTTAAAAAACCACAGCTGAGAAACAAAATTTATTGCCAAAATGTACAAGGTTTAAAAATACAGCTGAAAATTACACTCAGCGCTTTGTAGACTGATGTTACTTGACCTAAACGGAAAGTGTACACACAGGTTCAGATGTAATTAAATCAACACTCAAGAAGACAAAAAGTTGATCTGTCATGAAACCTCAAGTGCGTAGATACAAAGTACTGAATGATTTGTATGGATAGCAGTTTACTTAATTGTTAGAGGGAACTGTGACAATTTCATTAGTAGTTCCAAAACTCAACGTAGCGACTAAGCCTTACCTATATTCACACTTTTGGATGGATGGAGTGACTGTGACGTCCGTTTTTGAGATTTCATATTACTCACTTGTCGTTCATTCCGAATAACCTCACTGGGTCGACGTTTAACCTCACTGGTAGAATGATTAGTTCCATGTTGACTTGAGTCGGAATCCGTCGAGCTACTATTACTCGACTGTTCATGCTTAAGTGGAATAAGCTTTCTAGAAGGAGACCGATTTTCGCTGTTTGATGATGAATTAGAGCTACTATTCGAGGGATCATCACTATCAGTTTGTTCTGATGATTGTCTGTAACCCAGTTTTGGATGGGTCTTACGGTAAACATCTTCGAGTGTACCAGTAATACGTGAAGTCAATTTCTGCGTCTGAACGTATTGCACATTATCAGATTCCCGCTTAACATCAGAATTTACCTTTTCTGTAAGGCTCTTGACGATGGGTCGAGCAACTGCACTTTTTGTGCTAGTCTTGCTTTTTTTAACATACGATGATCGTTCAGTTTTGTCACACACTTTCTTTTTTTTTTCTGGAGTGCCTGAGCGATGATAAGATCTCTTTGTCTCTTCCAAGTGTGAATTTTTGTGGTCTAGTTTTTTCTGAGAAGTAGGGAACTTTTTTCTGTCTGAGTCCCGTTTTCCTATACTTTCAGCAGCTTCTAATTTTCTTTTGTGATCAATACTGCGTTTCCTACTACCTTTAAGGTGACCGTGATCAGTAGATGAACGGTGACGCTCTTTAGAGTTCTGATATGACCGCGATCTGTGGCGAGCACGGCTAGAGCGGTGCACTGAATTCGATGAGCTAGATGAGTGACGACGTCGTGAGTGTCGATTTCCACTAGACCTTCTAGAACGAGACCGTCTGTGTGACCTAGGATACTTGTGGGAATGTGATCTTGATCGACGACGACCATTTTTACTCTTCGGCGTCTCCTCATTCTGTTGAGACTGGTTCGCAACGGCCGGATTAGCTATCAACGGAGTAGCAATCATCTGTGCAGATCTAAACTTTTGGGGGTTAACAAACTGCATTCCAGCAGTTGGGGGTATCGACGCCTGAACAAGAGTGGGATCAGTTGCATGAGCATGGATCAAATTTCGAGTGGCAACGATCGGTACAGAGTGGTGAAGCGGTTGGATATTTAAACTCATTAAATTTGGTATTGGAGAGGCTTTCAATGGTAAATTTGTTCCAGGAATATGTGCTTTATTCGCAATGTTATTACTAAGTACCATAGACTTGTCAACTGTACCGGATAGGATCAGTTGTCCGGAACTGATCATAGAACTAGTAGACTGAAGATCACTGGATTCAGAAGATGGAACAGAATGAGGATGAGACAGTAAACCTTTGGTGTGATCTGAAGTAGAACTTAAAGTCTCACTTTCTTTAGTTGGTAGAAATAAATCGGTCTTGACCTCAGTAGCAGGCAATTTGTTTTTTGCAGGTAAGACACCGACAGGAAGTTGAGAAGGCTTTGACCTTTTCATCATCGCTTGGAGTTTAGGCATGGCTTTAGGCTCCTCAACTTTCACATCCTTAGATGACTCGAAAACCCCGGATGATTCTGTAGGCACATCTGAACCTGGTAAAGACTTGGTAGACTTTCGCATACTAAATTTAAGAGGTCCTAAAGACTCCATTGTGTCAGACTTTGGGAGATAAGACAAACGAGGATAAAACGGCGGTCCTTTATCTTCTACATTTTCAACTGTTAGATTGAGGTTTGGTAAGGGAATGTCAGAAGCTTCTATCTTGGCAGCCGGCGGTAGTGGAATATTACATACATCACTGACACTCTTTGGTATAGGAGCATTAATTGGCCCTAAGAATTAGTTAATTATGGATTTCGCTATAAATATCACATACTTGGTAGTGGAATAGCTGATAAATCAAGCGACGGAGAACAATCCTCTAACTCACTAAATCAGATTTTTGTATACAAAAACAAACGAACTTACTCCGTTGGTGAAGCCGGGTCATACTCCATCAAGATATATCAGCTGTGTGAAACTAATACGGTACAATCCCACCAGAATACAACCAAGGACGTTCAATGCTGTATTTAAGCGCTTTTTATTACCGGTGCAAGTTAAAACAAGTTACAACTCCGAAAATTTGGTTAGCAGATTGTCTTATAAATATTGTATTTCGCAATAAGCATATTCATTTGTCCTCAACTAAATTGTCTTTCGAACGAGGTTCCGCCAAGTATACAGCAAATTAAATCATATAATACCATATGTAATACATGTAAATGAGATTTTTGGTTCAAGAAGAAGTTGGGATCCTTATAATGATGACGTGCTGTTCCTTTAATTTTTTGCTTTGGTTAACGATATGACCTTAGTAATATTATTCATTCTCTAAGTATTACACAAAATGAACCTCCCCTGATTTTGAGACCAATATTCTACCTTCATAAATGAAATAAAACTTGGGTATCTCGAATGAACATAATGAATTATAAGGCAATATATGTAACGAACTCAATTTGTTTGACGAAAATTTTAAGGATGTTTCGCATATCTTGTATTTACTACTTGAAAGTCAGTGATTCCGTGCCACTTTCTGTAGTCACCAAGATTGTGTGAAGTAGAAAAGTAATTGATTGACCGGAAACTCCAAGTTCAAGTAAGGCAGAGTTTCAATGACTCCATCATATTTCGAAATATTATACATACGAATACCAACCTAGCCGTCTGTGTTAAGTGAACTTTTGTTTTAAATGACATTGCCAGTTTTCGTCCTTCCCAATTATAAGTAGTTTCGATAGTGCTCGTATGACAAAAAATAGTCGTGCACACTTTACCGAATTTATGAGTGTTGTCTTAGAAAACTGGCAAGTGTTATAGGAGGTAGCTAGTAAGTGGTATCCATAGGTAAGATAAACACTGTTTACTTATTTATCACCATTGTTGTTGTGTGAGACACTACACCATGCCATTTTTTTCAAAAAATAGGTCTTTTATGGTGTTAGCCATTATTTATCTCATATTTGGTTGAAGATACTGCTATTTTGCGCGCCTTTTTAACTGGCTCAGTTATACCAATCGTCTCGGTTATATGACAGGTTTTATTACTATTGTTAGTCGTGATGCATCACCAATTCTTTTGACTTTATACTAGCGTTTTTCACAACAATTTTCCCAAATGGTTGGATTTATTATGTCTTCATCAATTTATTCGGGCTTGGTTACGGTTACTAAAGAAATATTTTCATCTTGTTGCGTGACAACAATTCACAAGAATTCAGCTCAGTATGAGCCGTAACGCCCACATGCTGTACTTCAACTAAACAGATATTGTTGACGAATAACTCAAAAAGTTGCAAAATATCGGAAATTTGTTGTAAAACCACTTAGAAACGAGACATAATAACGATGGCTGGGATAAACACCGTTACAATACTTCGTTTACAAATGTTTACAAATTCTTAAGCATTCTGCGTGCAACACTTCCTTTAGTGTTAGCACTACATGAATTTAACGATCCTTGATTCAGTTTAACTAGGTTTTCTACTGTTAGGTTTTGCCTTTCCAAGTTACTGCCCAAGTTGTCTGACAATACTTGAAGGATTATAGGACAAAGATGAACAGCGGAAGAGGCGATTGGTAATGCTGGATCGGTTGATACACAGTGGGGGCTCTTAAACTGAATGTACCTGAATCTCAAAGTTGGTCTACACTCTGGGACTCAAACCTAGTACCGTTCGCTTCAAACGCTAACGCGTTGTCCACTTAGCTACTGAGTACTGATAGCCACTTTCTTGTGAACTAAAGCAATATCGAGACAATAAGCATAGTATGCATTTATGCAAATAAGAGACTGATCAATCGCAGTCTCAAACATCAATGCGAATATTCAAGTACAAAATACCAAGTGAACTGTCGATTAATTACAGCAGATCCTCCCGAAGCTAACGTCAATGCAAATAGCTTTAATCCTGGCTATGAGCCTTACTGTCGAGTCTACACTACAAATGGCGGTACACTACATAATCAACCTGCACAAGATTTTTTGGAAAACGCTTCCGCTGGCATGATGAGGTATACAGCAAACGTTATTTCAAACCACACGCAAAATATAATTTTCCTTCTCCCGTGCAACCTTAATCGAAAATATGCCCAACCCTCTCTTCTGGTCAATCAGAACAATTTGAATAGTTCATTTGATGTATCACCCTGTAACACTGATTATCTTGAGAATTTTATCAACGAAACATGCTGCCAAACTACCAATGATATTGCACAAGTTGAACACATTTAGGCTTGGGGTAGAATAATATATTTAATGTGAATAGAGACTGGTTACACAGAATGACCAGGACTGAAACGCTGATCCATACCAAAAAACAGTTGCCGCGTTCACCATCTTTGATCGTCCCTCACTATTACATATTGAATGTAATCTTTTTCAGTAATTATATGATTTGCTTCACAGACCGTGTGGGAAAAAATCAATAACTTTATAACCTAACTTGAAAATAGTAGGCGAAGAGGAGTTGCTGACCAGCCAAGATTGGTGATGAGTGTGATGATTTCAGTCCAACCATGACTATGGAGCCAGACATATTGTTGCCTTATTTCGAGTGAATTTATCCTTCAGGTCGAAATATTGCCATTGTTAATCTGAACACGGGAACATATCTATGATTTGAATCAACCGCAGGAGGCAAATAGCTATTTACCACGTGTTCCCAGAGGTAGTATGTACTGGACTGACTTATCAGACCAACAACGTTGGGCAAGTAACGAATAGTAATAAATTTATCTTAAAGTTTCCCACTGTTCCAGCTAGTGGCTACTGATAGTCTTGGGCAAGGGTACACTGTTATGTATGCTCTTTGCAGGGAAAAGACATAATGTGCAGTACTTATGATACACGCACTTTCGTTATGGATTCGGCGGCACACTCACGCCAACAAAGTACTGTGTTCATTCCATGTCTTAAGAGCATTTTTCAGGAAGGTAAATGTTAGCTGTACAAATTATTTTCCGTAGTTCCGAAATCCTGATGTACGCAAATGCTTAGAAAACCTTGTAAGACTAGGTGGTCAGACATGTCAGCTTCGCTCTTCGTAACGCATTATATTTAGATTCACTCAGAAGTACGAACATCTAAGAACCCATTTTTCACGTGCATGATTTGCTTGTAAGCGTTTCAATGACTAAATGCTGCCCTGTGGTCATATTTTGTATGCACATTCTAAAGATCTAATTTGTAGAGGTAAGTGTGTTCCTTTGTCTCTATAAGCATTGTAGACTTAATACGACATAGCAGCCGGTGAACAAGGAGTGATTATCTGCTAGAGAAGTTCACTAACAACTACCACTCAATTTATGCTCTCAGTGAACCTTTGGCAAGTAAACTCATCCGTTTATGCCTCGAAGCATCGGAAGATATATGAGCACAAGTAATGAGTTCAGTCGGTGCTAATGATGAAGTTACATCGTCAGAATCCATTGTTAACACTGACCATAGCTATGCTTCGTGACAACAAGAAGTTCTAATATTGCTATCTTTTTGGTTATACATAAATTCACTTATATGGCCATTAATTTGTCCTTATAGCGCTACGGCAAGGACAGTGTACTGTGCAGTCATAAGTGGCTGTGAGACAGGATTGTTGGTTCACGTTCTTGTGTAATAATTACCAGTTTGGCGCACACGCGATTAGTCACACAGACTGTTTACCAAATACCACAACCTTGAACATTTCGTACTATAATACTAGGTCGAACTTCCACCTGTCACGATAAATAAGCATTGCCGTAATTAAAATACTGATGCGTTATAAATGAGAACATTTATTAAAGTTGAAGTCCATCACAAATAATCCAGCCAGCTGGAAATAACATAGGCAGGAAATAATTATTTCAGTATAAATGTTTACCAGAAACTAATACAAAAACAGAAACCGGTATTCAATTACAGGTCGAAAGTGCATTTAGCACACCCTTTCTTTGGATGGTCAATTACTCTTATTTGCTTTACCTCATGCGTTGCTTAGGAAAGCCTGGGTCGCAACACACATGGCTGGTATTATTTAGTTCTTTGGACAGGTTACACTTTGAAAATGTAGACAATAAATATATATAAAGACTACTATGTGAGCCCACTTTGAATCGTCCTGTGTAATCCGTAATTACTGATGCTTACTTTATTTCAGTCCCAAGTAAGGTATAAGTAATCGTCATTTCCCACATCAGCACGGAGGCAAGACAGGCCTTGGTTGATTTTCGAAGATCATCACATAAGATCTCAAACAATCTGGTTACCTAAGATTCAAATATCTTGATAATCAAATCGTACATTTCAATGCTTTCACGTTACCGCTTTATAATAGTACTTATTTCTGCTATTAGCTATCTTTGCAAGAACACCGGCAGCCTAAATATTGTAACACTGTACAAGAGGTAGTAAAGCTATGTTAGCGTAGTCGCTGGTAAAATCTTCACATAATTGTACCTCTTACGCAAGAGCCAGATTCATTTCCTGGAATATAATAATTTGTCGGTTTGTATATCTAACTGTAGATGATATTAACATCTTGGTGTGTGTATTAAACATCAATAGCATATACATAACACTTACAACTCTCAGGACCGCTAATATTTTCACTATTAACCTGTTTCTGCCATAAAAGTCGAACAAAACAGTGAAAATCAGCCAAACTTGTAATAAAGAAGGGAAAAACGATAAATCTTACCACGGTATCGTTATTTGTTGCGCAGTTTGGTAGCCTTGACATAACAATTTTTACGACGATATATGCTTGGACCATGTTATTTCACATAAAAATAAATTATTTGTCTTCCGTCAGTGTATAATTAAGTGGAAATAATTGCTAGCCTGTGATGCAAATACGGAAAAACTATTATAGCAGCATCTGAATGAATTCGCGATACCATGTACCGCAAAATGGAAAAACCCCTTTTCACTTAATTGTGAAAAAGAAAAAATGAACTTTCAAGTTTATTTATAATTAATTTCGAATTTCGGCTGTGCACAAAGCAGAAATGAAAAAGCAGCGCAAAAAGTGTCGCGATACCGCTGGAACGTTGCCTGAGAGTTTTGAAGAAGTGGTTTA